ACACACACACACACACACACACACACATATATATATATATATATATATATAAGCATAGCTACATCATGGGCGGGTTTAAAGTAATCAGCGCACTTGACGGTCATACCTGTTGTAGACGCCTCGTTTGACATAAAGCTGATCGCATCCACCGACTCCGCAAGAGTCATTACTGACGAATGCTTTATCCTTTGGTCGCCCATATTCGTGGCCTAAACCCTATATAAAATTTATTATTCACAACAGGATCATAGCCTAATAAATCGAAGTGCTTAAGACACGATCGTAGTCAAATCTTATGTAAAATTGAACTCATATATCACAGTATCAACTGAGAGTGTGAGAGAGATGCCTAATCCTGTACTAGGTGTAGCAAGTCTCTGTTCCGAGCGTGATTGAGCCTTTTGAGGTGTAAGACCGTCTGTATCGTATGTAGGCTAGTAGCGAGAGTACTATTAACAAGTGTAGCTACATATGTACAAATCATCAGACAGCATTGTAAAATTAAAAAACAATGAATTCGCAGACCTTCCTTCTCAAATTAATTGAAATATTTTTCTTCTACTTTTTCATATTTACAAAAGCCTATTAAGATGATTGAGAGGCTATATTTAGTCCCCTCTATTTTATAAATATATCAACACATAGCCCGCGTTTTTTTTGGGGGGGGGGGGGTTTGTTGTAAAAACGAACCAAAAAGTATATACACAGTAGAGTGTTCAGACTTCAGTGTACAATGGTACGTACTGTCTTTATACATTTTGCCACAGATTTGTAAAATTTAAATATATCTTTTATTTCCTTTTACGCGCGATATATATATATTTTTTTGATATGAGAAGGAATCCCTAAACCCTAAAACTCTATTAATCAATCAAACGGCTCCATTCAACCTTCGTGTCCTTCATCAAGGATCACTCATCACCGTCATACTTTGCAGAGTCATCGATACTGGTCATGCTCTTCCATAGCGCCACTATGGTCAGAAATAGGCCAATGAAATCGCTATCCATATAGTTTAAGTACTATCGTAATATAATTGGTGCAATGTGTAATTTAATTCAAAATAGACTAATGAAATAGTATAGCGTATGTATAATAATATAGTTGAAATTTGGACTGTTAAAGTAAAGCACATCAGCTGCTGGCGCTTGGGTTTTGGCACAGGCTGTGGGTCTGTGGCTGCGTGGCAGACTTTTGAGACTGGGCACACTCTGGTGGTGGGGGTCAAAAACCGTAATCTCTGTTGGCACTTGGCTCAGACGTTTTAAAAAAGATACTTTATAGAAATAAATTAAAATTGCTCCCTACATGCAGTCATGCAGAATTGCAGACTGTCGCAGCGTCACTGTACTGACTGCAGTTGTTGATATTTATTTATATATTTTTAGTCAGTTCGCTCTCGATACTGTGATAAATATAAAGAACAAGTTTGTTTGTTTTTATTTAAAAAAAACAATTATAGATGTTTTTCTTGAGAAAAACTTTACATGGCCCCAAAGACTGTAAAAAGAGTACTATGTAGAGAGTAAAAATAGTATGCTCTCCAGGGACTCCACTCGTATACAGACTACAGTACTGAGTCACTAGAGTACTGAGTCACTACAACAACTTTTATCAATTCATAGAGAAAGCCCTGTCCCGTTTCCAGCTGTGATAGGGATAGACGAGGCTATGAGTAATACATCTTGTATAAATGATGCTTTCTTTTTCTGTTCCTTGGTTGGTAAAAATTGGCTTGAGGTTTGGGCGAGTTGAGGCTGAGTTCGATCACTTTGACTTTAAAGCCATATATATCTTTGAATAAAAGAAGTGCACTAAACCTGCAAGTTCAGGGTTGACGTTCCAACACAGACGCCCCTTCACAAAGAAAGCATATAATATTTCAGCTGAGTTCGCAATCTAGTTCAGTCTGCGCACTATATCAACGTAGGATATGTGTATCTGATGGGTTGGCTCGAGATATATACGCACGCGCAATGTTCCTACGCAGAAAGGTAACTTCAATTCATAAGTCGTGGCAGAATGTCAGACGTACACACAGCGACGACGACGGCAAAGACCCAGAGTTAACTCACTTAGATACCAATAGAGATGTACAAAGCTCATTCACCCTGAATCCTTTCAAAGGTATGTATCTACGTTGCAACTTTTGTGTGCTGAAATTCTAAGCATATCACATACACACGTTTTAACAGATATGCTTTTTGGTACGATACATTCGCATCGATAGTTGTGAAGTTTTTTCTTTTTTGTCGCGAAGCACTTATACAATACAATTGCAAGCATATCATCGTATATACCCACAAGACATGAGCATGCACACTCGCACAAATATATAT